CTCCTCATGACTTCACATGGACTTCCCTTTTAGCCAATCTCCTCTTATAGTGACAATAGTCGTATAGGAGTAGGCCACACCCATATAGCCTCATTTTACCTCGTTAAATTCCCCAGCTCTGAATGCAGTCACATTCTAAGGTAGTGGGGATTATCATTTCAACATATTAATTTCAGGGGCACACAATTCAGCCCATAACAGTTATGCATGACTTTGACCACACATTTGTAGGCTGAACTTTTTAATGTTTCAGAATATTGATGGACTGTGGACTTGTAGGTGAAACTGATGTATTCCATTAGAGAGATAGCCCCGCCGGATTCCAACTGGGTCCCTAAAGCTACAGATATGGTCCATTAACGTTCCCAAATGCCAAAGAATGAATGAACCATCTAGAGGTAGGCAAACAACCACATTTGCTAAAAGGATAATATTTCATCCATTAAATAAATGTGATACCTTTTTCTAGTCTGGTATCAATATAGAAGGCATGTGAAAAATGAGTTAGCTGAGAGTTAATTGACTACGGAGACTCTATTTTCAGTCTCTGCCTGTATTTTCTGAGTTAATATACACAGTAGGTGATTCAGCAAAAGGGTTTTAAAATAAATTCTTTATTGAAAGTTCCCACCAATTTGATGTCTTCATAATTCATGAAAAGTAGGCCCATAATAACTCTAATTTCTCTTCAATTTAGAAAATAGAAGATGCCATTGGTTTAAACTAGGCTTGTATGTAGAATAATCATGTATAAACAAATATAGTTTGACTCGGATGCTATTTAAGAATAAGAATAAATGCCAGAAAAGAACTAGTTATTTCTTTAAAAAAAAATTGGATGTATAACTTGCATTGACAAGTGAGGGTGAAAATTTCTTCGAGTCAATAGATAGCATATGAATTCATAAAATTCAGTTATGAACACTCAAAAGTAAAATAAGTAGGTAGATATTGTCAAATAGCTTCTCTTGGCTGGGTGTGGTGGCTCACGCCTGTAATCCCAGAACTTTAAGAGGCTGAAGCAAGAGAATCGCTTGAGCCCAGGAGTTGGAGACCTGCCTAGGTCACACAGCGAGACTTCATCTCTACAAAAATAAAAAAAAATTATCTGGGCATGGTGACATGGAAATGTAGTCCCAGCTAGTCGGGAAGCTGAGTTAGGAGGATAGCCTGAGCCCAGAAGATTGAGGCTGTGGTGACCCGTGATTCTGCTGTTGCCCTCCACCCTAAGTGACAGACTAAGAACCCAACTCAAAAACGGAAAACAAAATAGTTGCTCTTTTAAAGTGCACTTTTAGAATATAAAGAAAAGAATGTTTGAGACCTGGCTATATTTGGAGCATATAGGAGCACTCAGGATAGTTGAGGAATACATAGATATGATATGGAGTTGTATTTTATTTATGACAAAAAGCATCCTAGTTGTGTTGTATAAGGGGCTTCTCACATTGGCTAGAGAAAGCCCACTTGGAAAGAATTAGAATGCAAAGTATATTTACTGCCATTTATTTGTTTCTCCCAAGAAGTTCAAACCCTCAAGGAAGTAGACTGTGGATAGTATTTTATCTCCTCTAGCTGTAGGAAATAAAGGATGAAGAAGTGAATTGGATTTGTCTGAACGCTTCTGGAGCCAGGGGCATCTGGGACAAGAGCTCAGGTGTCTATTTTCAGGATTATTCAGCAATTTGGCCACATATTTTTCTCTGATATTAGGTTTTGTTCTCTACTCGTGAGTGGCATACTTGAAGAAAACTGTGAAGACTTAAGGTCTAAATCCAAACCCTAAGAATAGGAAGAGTAAGGAAGTGAAGTTATATACAGTTAGAAATACATTTTACCTTAGAAATCTTTATTTTTCTTCAGTGAGTAAAAAAAAAAATTTAATTTGTATATTAGTTTGTAGTTTATGAGTGTACTTTGACAAAAACACCAGGAAGAGAGATTTCATATAATTCTTCACAGATATATTATATTGGCGGATTTTGTGTTTATGGTGGTATGGGTCTTCAAGTTGGAGTCTCACTCTGTAGCCCAGGCTGGAGTGCAGTGGCATGCTCACGGTCACCACAGCCTCGACCTGCTGGGCTCAGGCATTCCTTCCACTTCAGCCTTCCAAGTAGCTGGAACTACAAGCGTGCACCACCATGCCCAGCTAATTTATTGATTTATACTATAGATGAGATCTCACAAAGTTGCTCAGGCTGGTCTCGAACCCCTGGACTCAGCTAATCCTCCTGTCTCGGCCTCCCAAAGTGCTAGAATTACATGCTTGAGCCATTGTGCCTGGCCGGTGTGGGTCTTTGAAAAACACATTTAAACTTTATTTGCCTCCATTCATTCTTGACTTTGCAGATCATGGAAAATCCAGTGCCTGTCAGGCAGAAGGTACCTCTGTGTCATAGTGAGAGTTCAGACATGAACTATGGCCCATTAACCAGTGGCCCATTAAGTACCTTCTCTCATTGTTTAAAGCATATTCTAACTTCACAAAATAAATGTTAATGCAGAATGTTGTAACTGAGTCAAGAAGTGGAATTTTTATAACTCCAGTCAGAGCCGAGGTTGTGTCCAGTACTCTGAATTGTGTCCCATTGTTTTGCGATTCTTACAATCGGCAAGTCTTGCCTAGAGTGTACTTCAGAAGAGGCAAGTCAAGAAATAGCAGTTTGCTTTTGTGGTGTGTGTGTGTCTGTGTGTGTGTGTGTGTGAGAGAGAGAGAGAGAGAGAGAGAGAGAGAGATTTTCTATTTATAGTAATATTATAATACTACTTTCTGGGAAATAAACATTATTATTATTTAGAAAAATGTTGCTTGCCAAAATAGTTTTATGGAAAGCATTTGACTTTTCTTCTTTTGCTGTAAAAGAAAAATGATAGCCATTTTTTACATATACTACATCTAATGAAGTAGAGGACATCCTTGTAATATTGATATGGTAAGACAATATGCACACCATAGGTTAACAGTCCAATTGTTAGCTATAAAACGCTCTGAGATACAGTAATTTTTAATTTCATCTTTACAAGACAGAGCTCAATTTTAATCTAGAAGGCAGGTATATAAAAATTTCAGGAGTAGCTTTAGAAACCAATTAAGAAGGATTTTTGTCTTAAGGGTTTGTATGCCTGATGTAAGATGGTTATAAATGTTCTAAATTGTTTTTCTTTCTCTATTTTTTTTTTTTTTACCTCTGAATGGTGCTTAGTATGGGGAGAAAAAGTCTCAGCAACATTTACCTTTCTTGGTCTTTTTTTTTTTTCTACTGTAGATACACATAATTTAGTAAATATTTATTTGCCTGAGTATTTCAAACCTATAAACATTACAGCTAGTTAATGGGTACAATTGTAGGTACCATGAATCATTATGTGGTGAAGAGACTATTCAAATTTGATATTATTTTACTGGTTATTTTCCCAACAGAAAAACTCTTGGGATGGAATAGATCTTAAAAGAGAGTATTTTCTGGGGAATGGAAAAAGTGGGAGTTTGGGAGTTTTTGGAGAGCATGAGTTTGTATCGTAATAGTCATGAAGCAATAGACATTTTGATGGTGCTAAGTAAAAGCATTGAACTTGTATGTATTTGTGTAAAGAGGTACAATGAAAACATAATTAGTGAAATCCCTAACATTAAAAATAACAATGTAAATTGTAAATATAAACTATTTTTTAGCAAATAACTTTACCTGCCCCACATTTCTTAGTGGAAGATTGTGACAGTCTAAATAGTTATTTTTTAAGCTGTCACTTAGAACAGAATCTTTACCCCTTCCACATCTCATCGACCTCAGAGGATGTCAAGGACTTGAGACAGTTTTATATAGCAGATAAAAAAGAGAGTGTAATTGGAAGAAGAGCTAACATTTAATGAGCACTTACTGTGTGTCAGTCATTGTCCTCAACACTTTAGGTAAACTCCATTTAACCCTCACAACAACCCTATAAGAAAGATAATACTATCCTCATTTTATATGTTATAAATATATTTATATTATTACCCATAAATAATAATCTAAATCATAATTTATATAAATATATTTATGTCTTTTTTTGAAAATTTGAGACAGGGTCTTGCTTTGTTTTCCAGGCTGGAGTGCAGTGGTTCTATCATAGCTCACTGCAACCTCCAGCTTCTGACCTCAAGGGATCCTCCTACCTCAGCCTCCCAAGTAGTTGGGACGGCAGGCATGTGTCACCACACCTGGCTAATTTTGGGGGGAATAGGTAAAGGGAGACAGGGTCTTACTATATGACCCAGACTGGTCTTGAACTCTTGGCCTCAAGTGATCCTCTCATCTTAGCCTCCCAAAGTTCTGAAATTACGTGTGTGAGCCACTCTGCCTGGCATATTTATATCATTATAGATGATGAAATGACACAAAGAGCACATGAGACTTATTTAGCCCAACAAATATACCCAGGTTGAATTGGGATTTGGGACATAGAAGTTTGGTTCCTAGTAGATTCTTTAATTACTGTATTACCCATTATTTCTGGAGCCTAATATAGTGGATTGCCAAAGACATGAAGGTTGATGGAACCAGAAGATTAGATGTATGTAGCTTCTCATTTTTACAAATGAAAGAACTGTGGCTTGGAAAATTTGGGTTAAATTGTTCAGGATTGCAATACAAGGTGAGAGTCAGAGCTGGATGCAATCCCTGTTCAGCCTGGCTCCAAGTTCCACACTTCAGTCCATAAATCCACAGGATGCCATTTACTGTGACCACAATCACATGCAATCCCCTTTTGGCCTCCTACAACAGCCAGACAGGTTTATTTTTGATGACTCAACCCAGTGCTTACATAGGGAAGCACATTCCTAAGTTATAAAGAGGAACCAGTGAAAGGAAATCATCCAGGTGTGAGATGGGAATTCAGATCTTGTTTTCTTGGTTTATCTACACTCAATTGTTTTGTGCCTTGATGTTCATTAGGGTGTTTGAAGTATCTTTATTGGGTTACAATAACATGGGTTTTTTTTCTCTCTCTTTCAGGTATGGAAAAATTGTATCTACAAAGGCAATTCTTGACAAAAACACGAATCAGTGCAAAGGTATGTGTGAGGCCATTGGTGCTCTGAGTTCTTGCCTATGCTGTTCGGTGGATAACTTCTCCATCACAGAAGTCCAAGGCACCAGCTGTGTGATGATCACAATGTACAGTATATGGCAAACCTCTTTAATAATGCCAATGCTTTGATGAGTTGTATTTCTAGTAACATTGCTCATTAATTTTTTTCATTAACAACAAAATGAAAATCACAAATCAGAACAAGTATCAAATTGCTTCAGCATAAAACTAAATTACCTCCTAACAACTTTGGGTTGTCTGATTTGAATGATATCATCAGTGATGCAAATTGATTTCCTATACAAAAATGAGGAACTCTGGGGAAAACTTCCCTATGCAAAACACGTTTTAATTTCTCTGTTCTTTAAAGCTTTAGCAACATTAGTTGACTAGGAATGAAAGTACGGATGGACCTATTGTATCTAAGCTTCAGCTATAAGGATATCATGGGATTTCAGAGTTGGTATCTCATTAAGCTAGGCGTTTTTTTTTTCCTGAAAATATTTTTGGAGTCATTGGACTATATCTACGTCTCATGTTTCTTCAAGTCTGGGGATCCCATACGCTTTTAAAAGTTGCATAAAATTATTTGTGAAATCTGTATGGTCTCTCTTGCATGACCCAGTTCTTACTGGAAAATTGGACTACTTCTTGTAACATATGTTATTTGTTGTTTTTCTAATCTAGTTTTTATTGTAATACTGAAATCAAGTATGGTAGAGTCAAGTTCATTCTAAATGCTGCCCTATTTCACATTCAAATGTAATGCGCACAAGTTTCTGGAAAGGACACTCAAAAATGTACATCCAAACTGACTTAGGTAATAGTAGTCAAAGTCAACTCAGCACTTAAAAATATAAAAAATATTCTGTGCCTCCTATAAACTCAGTAATATTCTAAGTACTACATGGCAAAGAATGATATGACATGGTTTCTGCCACCTAACAGTTCAATTTCTAGTTGAAAAGAAAATAAAAAATCAAGAAACTAATTCTAATATCTTTATTAGGATGAGTATACCTAATATATGTGAGAGTGTTAACAGGTACCTAAAACAGAAGTATCCTCAAACTAATGTTACAGGAGAGTATGGTGATTCCTTTGGGGGAATGAGGTTTATAAAGGGCAAAGGGAATGGATGCACTTGGGACACATTGATGTTCAGGGAAAAAAATATCAGAATATGATTGGGTCCAAGTATTTGGAATAGAAAAACGCACCAGTAAGGACATTAGTAGAAAGAAGAAAGGAGTCAAGATTTTGGAGACTTTTAAAATGATATCCTGGGCCGGGCTTGGTGGCTCAGTCTGTAATCTCAGCACTTTGGGAGGCCAAGGTGAGTGGATTGCCTGAGCCTGCGAGTTCAAGACCCACTTGGGCAACTTGGCGTGACCTCGTCTCTACAATAAATAAAAAATTAGTCTGGCGTGGTAGTGCATGCCTATAGTTCGACTACTTGGAAGGCTGAGGTGGAAGGATCACCGGAGCCCAGCAGGTAGAGGCTGCAGTGTCCGGGAGTGTGCCACTGCACCCCAGTCTGGGCCACAGAGTGAGACTCCAACTCAAAAATAAAAAATAAATAAATAAATAAAATGATATCCTGGATATTTTTAACTTAATTCTGTATGCAACAAAGACTTCTTAATAGATTGAGCAGATACAATATGATTTTATATGTGTTTTAGAAAAGTTTTTTTGGCAAAAGTGAGTGAAATCAAATCACAAAGGGGAGAGTAAGAAGCCAAAAAGAAAAAAAATGTAGGTTTTAAAGCTGTAGTTCAAGAGAAAAATTAGAAGAAATTTCACTCTAGCTATTACTATGAAGGTAATAGAAAGCGGGCCACCATAAGAGTTTTCCAAGGTAGAACTGGTTATTCTCTATAAAGGTGAAGGAGAAGAATGTATGAAATGAAGCCTATGTGTGGAGCCTTCATGATTGGGGAAGATGACTGAGCCATTTGCTGATTTAAGAAGTCCGGAAGTAGCTGGGCTCGGTGGCTCAGCCTGTAATCTCGCACCTTGGGAGGCCGAGGTGAGTGGATTGCCTGAGCCCGTGGGTTTGAGACCAGCCCGGGCAACTTGCCGAGATCTCGTCTCTACAATACATCAAAAATTAGCCAGGTGTGGTAGTACGCGCCTGTAGTTCCGGCTATTTAGAAGGCTGAAGTAGAAGAATCACCGGAGCCCAGGAGGTCTATGCTGGGATGACTGGGAGCGTGCCACAGCACTCTAGCTTGGGCAACAGAGTGAGACTCCAACTCAGAAAAAAAAAAAAGAAGAAATGACATTCTTGCTGGGCGCAGTGGTTCATGCCTGAAATTCTAACACTTTGGGAAACGAAGACAAGAGGATTGTTTGAGCTCAGGAATTGGAGACCAGCCTGGGCAACTTGGTGAGACCTCGTCTTTACAATAAAGCTAAGAATTAACCAGGTGGTGGCACGCACCTGTGGTTCCAGCCACTTGGAAGGCTGAGGCAGAAGGATCACTGGAGCCCAGCAGGTCTATCCTGGGATGACCGGGAGCGTGCCACAGCACTCCAGCCTGGGCGACAGAGTGAGACTGCAACTCAAAAAATGAAAAGACATTTTTTACCCACAGGAAACTGTAAAGCCAAAGAACAATTCTGAACACACATAAGTATAGAAGAGGTACCAGGTACTGGGAAGGAAAGCCCCAAAGAAAGAGTTTGACTTCTTTTAAAAGAAAAGAAATTCTCTCATGCCAATTGCTTTGGGCAATGATGAAAGATAGGGACATAGAAAGAAGCAGAAGCAAAGAAAGAATACACAAGAGGAGACCACAGTTGGTTTTCACACACGCCCAGCAGGGGAAGGTGGTTCCAAATCCAAAGTTCTACACAAGTGCCAGAAGCTCCAGGAATGCAGTTTCTTAATGCACCGAGATAAGGTCACCTTCAAAGAAGCCAAAAGGAAAAGGATTTTGGCAAAATTTGATAAGAACTGTACTGGGTATTTGTGTCACTAAAAGAAGCCCTTCTGAATTAACTCTACCCCAGAATGTTCATGCCTTCGCTTTAGTTATGCCCATATTAGGTACTTGTTTGTGCTCATGGTTTTTTCCAAGTAGCTTCCCACCCTCCCAGCTTACCCTTGTAAACAGGAGAACTTGGGCTCTTAAGAACCTCCCTCTATATACCTGTGTGTGCATGTGCACAAACACGTACACACTCAAATCCACTTGTGCGTACACACACACACACACACACACACACACACACACACACACACTACTCCCAATTCCTTTCTCTCCAAACTTCTTTTACAGATAAGTTTTGGGAATAGCAATTGCTCTTTTTTTTTTTTTTTTTGAGTTGGAGTCTCACTCTGTCGCCCAGACTGGAGTGCAGTGGCCGCTCCCGGCCACCGCAGCCTCGACCCGCTGGGTTCTGGTGATCCTTCCACCTCAGCCTTCCAAGTAGCTGGAACTACAGGCATGCACTACCACGCCCGGCTGATTTTTTTATTTATTGTAGAGATGAGGTCTCGCTGCCCAAGCGGGTCTCGAACCCGTGGGCTCAGGCAATCCACTCACCTCAGCCTCCCAAAGGCACGGGATTACAGGCTGAGCCACCAAGCCCGGCTAGCAATTGCTCTTGTCTTGAAAAGAATGAGAGTGCTTAACGTTTCATATAAATGCTGGCAATTATAGCTACACAAAGAAAATATGAAATTCAGCTTTGTTCGGCTTAGGAAGAAGTTTCATCAACTTTCCTCTGGCCACATGCACTGGATATTTAGACCAAGAGTTCAGCTTGTCTTTGCCTAGGACTTCTTTTACCTTGTGACCATAGTGGTCTGTTTTCTCTGTCTTCTCAATTCTGGGGCATTTTAGTGTAAGATGAACTTCCAGAAGAACCTGAAAATCAGAGTGATTCAGATTGGACTGACAAAATCAGCTATTATCTTTCTGGTTCTGAGCTAGACTGAGCCTCTTTACCTTATCTGTGCTGCCATCACTACTCTCAGTAAGGACTGTACCTGAGAGATTTTCTCTCAGGTCCCTGCTCCTACTGGATTAATCTTATTAAAATTCCATCTCTCCAGTTACTCACACCAAAACCCTGGAGTCATCCTGTCTTGGATAACCATCATCTTCCACCACCCAGCGTGTAGCCCAGCAGCAAATTCTGTGAACTCTACTTTGAAGATATATCTAGAATCCAGCCACGTCACCCATCTTCCACTGCTACCATCTTGGTCCACACCACCATCCTTTCTTGCTTGAATTCTTGTAGTAACCTCCTAGCTGGTCTCCCTGCTTTTGTCTCTGCTTGCCTACAGTTGATTTTCAATAAATAGTCATTATGTCCTTTGTAAAAATCTAAGGGAGACTATGTCACTCCTCTGCTCAGTACCCTCCAATGGCTTTATATCTCTCTGAAAGAAGTTAAAGTCTCCAGAATGTCCTATACAACCCTAAAGACTTCACCTCCTTTTCCTTTCTCACCTCATTGGGTACCACTTTCCCCCTTACTGTCTCTGCTCCAGCCAGAACAGCCCCAAGGGCGCCTCAGATGCTACCAGGCGTGCTCCCACTTTCAGGTCTCTCTCTCCCTGGAGCGTTCCTGCTACAGCTTTTTACCAGGCTCCTTCCCTTGACTCCTGTGAGTTTTGGTTCAGATGTCATCTTCTCGATTTGGTCCCCCATTAAAACATTTTATTCAAAAGTATAACCTCCTCCATCCTGGCATTCCTCATCTTCCTCTCTGCTTCATTCTCCTTGGTTGCACTTTTTCTTCTTACTATGTTACTTAATGTTCGTGTTTGGTTTGCTCGCTCTCGCTGTTATCTTTACATGGAAAGGTGAAATATAAGCATGTAATTACATGTATCTTCCTAGGTCCTTTGTGTGTATTTTTTTTCTTTTGACCTAAATAATAAGATTTTGGCAGGTAAGAACCGTATTTTTTTCTTCTTACAGAGTGGGAATACTAAGTGATATATTTCCTTGTGAAGTGTTTAATAAGTTCCCCGAAGATGAAAAGATAAAAGGATGTGAGTGTGAATAAAAGATAAATGTGAATGATTAAACAAATGCAAAAAAAAATCTAAGAATGAATGCATCCTTAGTGACAATCTAAACCCTTGTCCATATGTTCTATCTATATTGTAGAACAAGAAGCAAGTTCAGGTGTTAGCATTTGAGGAGACAGAGATGGAGTTTGGGTCCAGTAAACAGTGTCATCTGAGACAACTTCAGCAACTGAAGAAAAAATTACTAGCCCTTCAGCAAGAACTGGAGTTCCGCACAGAGGAGTTGCAGACTTCATACTGTTCTCTCCTGCAGTATCAGTCCATTCTAGAAAAGCAGACTTCCGACCTAGTTCTTCTCCACCATCACTGCAAAATGAAAGAAGATGAGGTATAGCTAATCAATTATGGATATGTCCCATATGCCCATGTACCTACAGCAATCAGGCTGAGTCTACTACAAAGCAGACATTGGACTAAAGAGGAGAGCGTGCCAATACCTTGAGCAGGTTTTATACTTTCCCTCTTTAATTCTTGATCTTTTTGAAGCCGAGCTGAAAAAAACTAGATCAAATGGCATACTTGGGTGAAAGTTCCAGTATTAGTGCATGTAGGGTATGTAGAGTGTATGCACATGCATGTGTTGTGTGTGTATATAAGTCCATCTTTTCCATTCTATTACCACTGCAATTTAAATGCAAAAGATTGTAGGTCTCTGAAGGTTATAAAAGAGGTTTGAGGTCCATTAAATCAACCATTTTTAGAAAAATCAGGTTTTGATGATGTATAAATTCCTGGTCAATCATTGAGAGTACCAGATTATTTTTTCAGACTGGAGTTTTAGATCATATAGATTTTGTTTAAGTATATTCAGGACAACCATCTCTACTCATGTTCCAGAGCAGTGTACCTGTAGAATCCCAAAGAGTAGTATCCCTGTAGAATCCCAAGTAAATTCTAAAGACCAAAAACTGCAAAACTGAAACCATTTGAGGAATGGTAGCACAAGTTGCAGTAAAACCATGAGTTCAAAGTAACAGGACAGGCAGCCTCTTACATCTTGGGGCATCTCCTGGCATTTTTTTCCTTCAGATTTAAGGCTAAAATTTCAAGGAGTGTTTTTGGATGGTGCTGTCTCTTAAGGAGTAACTCTAAGGACTTTATAAGGAACCTTAAAGAACATAGACTTTTTAAAAATGGAATATGATAGACTGGTAAGAATTTGCTGGAAAGGATTGGGAGGGGTGAGAAACAGAAGAATTGTCTTACAAAGTATAATCTGGTTGGTAGTAGTGGGAAACTGCCAGGGGGTTGGGGGAGAGGTGGGGTCGGTATAGTGGGAATCTGCCAGGAGAAAGGGGGGGCATACCTCATCAACAGGTACCTATACCTAACCCTGAATTGTACCCCCACATCTTTAAAATACAAATTGAAAAATTTATAATCTGGGACTCAGCCTGTGATCACAAACCATACTTTAATAAAGCTAGTGCAGAGCTGTGTTCTAATTGACAGGTCACTGTAACTTAAACAAAAGAATACAGCACGAACAAAATGACCCTGAGTTTGTTTGGATTCTATTTAGTTGCATATAACAGATAATAAATAAAGATAGTTTATTTCTATGTCATATTTTAAAAGGTCAGAGGCAGGTGGCGTATTATTGTTAAGGTAACTGCGCGTGTCATCATGTACATAGCATCCTATCCTATGGCTCCACCATCATTGGCTCAAGGTTTCTATTTCTCTAAACTACCCGAGGTGGCTACTGGAACTCTAATCATCAAATCCTTGCTCCACATAATCCAGATAGAGGGATACGGGGGTGGGGGGAAGCCACCCCCTTTCACTTTCCAGAAGCCCACACACCACATCTTCACTGATATGCATTTGTCATTGACCAGAATTAGTCACATGCCTACAGCTAGTTCCTAGAAAGCCTAGATAATGTAGTGTTTGGGGAGGTGCATTGTTGCCCCCAGTAGAGTCAAGGTGCTATTACGAAGGAAAGGGGGTAGAATAAATATGGTACTCAACAAGTAACAATCACAGTCAAAGATCCCAAACTGGAAAAGCATTGGAAAAATTATTTTAGGCATTCTACCAAGTTCCTTCAGTGATTTGTTACACAGACTAATCACACTTCTGCCTAAGGTTGGGTCCTTGCCACAGCAGACCCTAAGACAAGGATATAAATGCAAGTAGCTAAACCAGGAGGTGATTCCTAAAAGCACATAGGGAAGTGGGTCAAAGAAAGACAGAAAGCCCATAAAGAGCATCACTATTGAACAATTACCTGTTCAATTCCTCTGTGGAACTCTGGGAGATAGGGCAGAACATGCTGCAAAGTGAACCCACCAACTCACCCCACTCACAGTTTGAGGGCTGTTCTTGGGGGTGCTAACTTCCCAGCTTCTAACCTACCCTGACTTGCCCCTCTTGTTGAATGGGCTTCTGGGGCCAGAGAAGCCCTCAGGCAGAGTTGAAGATGCTTGCAGTGGGAATGGTATTAGCTTGCAAAGAAATAGTGAGTGCCCAGGGGAAGAACAGGCCACTGATAGCTTCTGTTACAAACATTTACATAAAAATAGTCCTCTCCTTTTCTCCTTAGCTAATAAACACCTTAAATTTCATGCTTCTTTCCTAAGAAGCATTTCAAATGACAGTCAGTAAGCTAAGTATAATTAGCTTAAACTAATGCAACGTGTTCTGTCAGAATTCTACGTTGGACTGTTTGAACTAATATGAAGCCCTCTTTGATGATTCTCCAGCTAATTCCTTCAACACATATAATTCAAGCCATACAGTTTAGAACACTCAAGTTGATTGCTCATTTTAAGTCTTATCTCCCCAAGTTTTTTAAAGTTTTAAACTCCTTGAGGGCTGAGGCTGTGTCCTACACGTATATATCCCCTCTGTACCCAACACAATGCTCATGAGCATTCAATAAATATCTGTCAGTCGGTTGAGTGATTAATTGATTAGGAAGAAAATACATCTAAATAAGGATTGTGCAAATCCCAGGGGAATTTTGGGTCATGTTCCTCCACTATCTCTTGGGAACTTTGTTGACATGGGCCTGTGTGCAGGAGAGACTACATTTTCTAAATTAGACCTCTAGAGAATGCCTAGGAAAGAAAGAATACTGACATTTCAAGCTCTTTAAAAAATGCAGCTATAGAAGTCCATTCCTATTAATCAACAAGTATTTTTATTGAGTTCCTACCACATTCAGGGCTGAATGGGAAATAGATATGGTCTCTGCCTTTGAGAAGCCTACCTCTAAACAGGACCATCTTTTTTTATTTCTCATCATTAACATCCTAATATTACATACTGTAGCTTTTAGATCTGTGTGGCCCTTATTCTGTTCATCTGGCTTTCTGGTTTAGAAAGAACCAGAGACTTACCATAGGGAGAGACTTACAAGACTTCTCTGTAGGGAGTCTTATAATCACATCCTTACCTCATTAGATGCTTCCATGGGCTCAGTGTGGTTTCATTCCTATGCCAACAGGTGATTCTCTATGAGGAGGAAATGGGAAATCATGATGAGAACACAGGGGAGAAGCTCCATTTGGCACAGGAGCAACTTGCCTTGGCCGGGGACAAGATTGTCTCCCTGGAAAGGAGCTTAAGCCTCTACAGGGATAAATACCAGACTTCCCTGAGCAACATCGAGTTACTGGAATGTCAAGTGAAGATGCTGGAGGGAGAGCTTGGAGGGATCATCGGTCAGGTAGGACTTAAGCCAGATCCTTCTGTCCAGGAGCAAGCACATGTGCTCCCAGGTGGCCCCCACTGACAGTGCCAGCCTCCTCTGCTGGAAACCTAAACCTTAAACCAGATATCACTTCCTGCCCTTGATTTTGTAGACCTCAGCTTTGAACTTCCAGCTTTCACATCTCCTATAAGATTGCTCCTTAGCAATTTTGAGGCCTTTTCATTAATGAAAAGAGCCACCACTTCAAATAAAGCAAAAAGAGAAATGACAAAATTACTATGTTCTCATGAGTGCCCACCAGGTTGCTCTTCTAGTCCAGGCTCTCTAGACAGAAGTATGAAAATTAAGTGAAAGTCGACCTTCAGTCTCTCTCTGTTCACCTCCACTCTCATAATATGCTGGGAATCCTCCCTATGGCTTTTGCTATACAGTCATATATATAAATGGTTAGGAGTTTCTTTGTATCGAAATGGATATTTATAAATATACTTTTACAACTTGCTTTTAAAATGCCTATCTTAACTATTTTAGTTCCTACCTTGTATTCTATAGTATGAATTGACCTGGGGTTTTTTTTTGTTTTGTTTTGTTTTGTTTTGTTTTCCTCTCTCTCTGTTACAAACAAGCCATAATTAACCTCCTTATTTCTATAGAGAAATTTCTGAAGTGAGATTGCTGGGTCAAACACTATGCTCACTTTAATGTTTAAATATACTTCTAAATTTGCACATCAAAAAGTTCTACCAGTTTACACTTTTCCCAACAAGAATTAAGAGAATTTATTTCCCCACACTCACCTACACTGTATGTTTTTGGTCTTTTAAATTTTTGCCAAACTGATGGATGAGGGAAAAGAAGATATGCTCACTACAATTTTTATTTCCTTTGGTTCTAATAGTTATGGGTGGGGTTACCCAGGAAGTAGACTCAAAGACAGATTAGCCTGCAGTACATTTTTTAGGGAGAGCCCCTTGGTATTAACACCTGTGAGAGGAAAAGAAAGGAAGTAGGACTGGGCAGAGAGAGAAGTTGAGCTGTGATATAGTCTCAACAAAGGCCTCAGCCAACCCATGGGGACTGAATGAACATTCAGAGTCACCCTAACTTGAGGGGAAGGGAGCTGACCTATAAACCTCCAAGACCATAAGTTATGGAATGTGGGCTGCCCCCATGGAGAGATGTGACCTTGATCAAAGCAGTTTTCTTCAGCCCAGGCAATCCTCAAAAAGGACAGTAAGTCCCTCATTACTAAGGGGATCTGGGCCAGGTGTGGTGACTCAGGCCTGTAATCCCAGCACTTTGGGAGGCCAAGCCGAGAGGATTGCCTGAGACCAGGGGTTCGAGACCAGCCTGGGCAATTTGGCGAGAACTTGTCTCTACAAATAAATAAAAATAAATAAAAAATAAGTAAATAAAGGGGATCTGGAAGGCATATCACAGTCTCCTCCACGCTAATGAGATACTGAGCTCTCTTAATAAGCATATCAGTTTTATGAATTACTTGTTAACCCATCTTGTACTGGGGTTGTTAGACTTTTTGGTATTGATTTATAGGCCCTTCTTAATTTATTATAGGCAATAATGTTTCATTACATACGTTGCAAATATTTTTTCTCTCAGTCTATAACTTTTTGTTTTTCTTTATTATGATATTTTTCACCATACAGAAGTTTTTTAATTTTTATGAAGTTGAATCTGTCAGTTCTCTTTATAAATTCCAGGTTTTATGTCTTTGCTTAAAAAGGTCTTCTTTACCTCCAAGATTATAAAGTTTTATAGTGTATTTTCTTTTATCACTTCCATAATTTTGCATTTTTATCTTTAGTTCATCCAGAATATATATATATATATTATACATGTATAATGAGATAAGGCTCTAATTTTATGTTTATCTAAATGGATCTCCAGTGGTCCCAAAATCACTTATCGAACATCTCAACCTTTTCACGCTGATTCAAGTGCCAACTCATATGCTGATTCTGCTGTACACATGGCTCTTTCTGAACGTTGCATTCCTGTGCTCTTTCTGCCAGTTTCTGCACCAGTGTCAGAGTTTTTTAATGACCTTGACTGATTGCATGCTTAGATAGATCCTTTTAGGCAACGTCATCCTTCACTGTTGTAGACTTTCCATTTTTTTCTTGACCATTTTTCTGCATATCTTCTTGATGAAATTTAGATATCTGTTGACTGACTTTCAAATTATGTGTTAATTTGGGTGATATTAATATGCCCTATGGAACATGACATCTACTTTTATTCAAGTTCTTTCATGTGTCCTTCCATAAGATTTTGTGCTTTTCTTTACATATCCCACATATTTCTTGCTAAGTTTATTCCTAGCAATATTTCAGTTGTATAAAATTCCATTTATATACATTTAATTTTATTGTTATTGATATGTAGAGAGGTTTATCTCTCATTCTGCCATCTTATAAATTTTCAGTTGAACATCTTGGATTTTTCTAAATTGCTTTCCCTCTTGAAATTTATACAACTTATTTTTCATCTTATCACATTCGCCAGAACTTCCAGAACAATGTAGAATTATAGAATCTTTGCTTTCCTCCTTAGTTTAAAGGAATTAGTTCCAGTATTTCCACACTAACTATAATGGTTGTTCTTGGCTTCTTGTTAATATTCTTTCTCAAATTAACAGTATTACTGTTATCTACATCTAGCTTATCAAGAATTTTTATCAGTGATAAATGTTGAATTCTGTCAGATGTTTTTATTAGCATCTATTCTTTAATAAAGTACATTACATTCATAAGTTCTCATATATAGAACAATCCTTGTTTTCCTGTAATAAACTTTGTTTGATCATAATATGTTATTATTTTAATAAACTGCAATACTAAATTTGTTTTTAACATATTTTGCATCTATTTTCAGAATGAGATTAGTTTGATGGCTTAAATTTGGGGACTGTCATCTCAAATTGGTGTCTGGATAGGTTGGAAAGATTTTTACCTTTTAAAAAATCTCTGGAATTACATGTTCTCACTCATAAAGGGACCTTGAACAATTATAATAATACTATAAGAAAGAGATTGGCAGTAGTGGGAAACTGCTGGGGCGGAGGGGTGGGGTTGGCAGTTGAGGAAAACTGCCAGGGGAGGAAGGGGCACACCTCACCAACAAGGGTACCTGCATAATGAACATTTGTATACCTAAGCTTGAATTGTACCCCACATCTTTAAAATAAAATATTGAAAAAAAATCTCTGGAACTGTTTATATAACATAGAAAATATCTATTTATTTAATAATACCAATAAACCCAACTGTTACTCATTACTGTGCTCTGCAGTCTTCGTCACCACTTCTGCATTCTTGAACTTTTCCTTTTACCGTAATAACTCCTTCTTAATTCTTCCAGAAACATTCGTGGGTGGCAAAATTTCTCAATATTTCTGTGTCTGAACAAGGTTTATTTTGCCATCATTCTTGAATGCTAGTTTGGCTGGATATACAAACTTTCAAAAGCATCTTCCTTTAAGTCTTTGAAGATATTGCTGCATTTTTTGTACCACCTAGTATTAAAGATGTGTTGTTGAATGTCAGTCTGTTTCTCATTTTTCATAGATTATCTATTTTATCTCTTTGAACTCTGGAGGCTTTTAAGTTCAGGGTGTTTTTAGTTTATTTTTCATTAAGCCTCTCAACACTTAACCTAGCCTTTTAATCTAAAGATCTACATTTTTCTTCACTTAAGGGCATTTTTCTTCTATTACTTTTAAGTTAATTTTCATTTTTCATCCCATAGCATTAAAAAGATACTGGAACCTGTACAGATCTCCTTCCTTTTTAACTTTTCCATTATGTTTTCCATTTCTTTGCCCTCTTATACACTAAATTATCTGTATGAAAATTTTTTACAGTCAATTTTAGATTCTAGCTGACCTTCCTACAACTTGTTCATAGGCCGCTTTCATGCTCAGTAAACATGAACTATTTTTAACTTTGCCCAAAAAAAACCCCAGGTATGGATACAAGTTTAATGGGGAAAGTATCTTCCATTCAAACTAGAACTCTTTGCTCTTTTTTTAAATATGTGCATCAGTTCACTCCACTATTAGTGTAGACCAACGAGAGGGCAGTAACCTCAATGTATGATTCCAGATGATCTAGGGAGAGACATTTAAAAAGAAAAAGAGAAACACGATTTTAGAGAAACATTCATATTCATGTTGATGAGAGTGTCAAGTGGTATAATTTCTTTGAAGGACAATTTTACAATGTCTATCCAAGCTTTAAATACAATCTCACTCCAATGAATTTAATCTGAACATATATGGAATAGATACTCAAAGATTTATGTGCAAGAGTGTTCATTTCAGCTTTGTTTCAGGAAAAAAAACTGGAAACAACCTATATTCCCATCAGTATATAAATGGATAAACACATTAAAATACAATTTAAAAGAACAAGATAGAAGCACTTGTACTAACATGGATAAATCTCTAAGACATCTTGTTGAGGAAAAAAAAATCTATGTGTTTTAAAAAGCCAACATAATCTGTATTGTACAGATTCATTTGTATTAAGTAAATATAGTATAAAATTCTAGGAGGATATGTATAGATTATTATCTCTAGAGAGTAAAGAGAGCATGAAATTAGAGGTGATAGACAAAGAAAAATTTAGATTTACCTGTAATATTACAATGTTCTGGAAAGATAATAAAGACATGATTACTTGTGCAATTTGAAATTAATTTCAAAAGAAGAGTAAGATCAACAAGAAACGATATGCAAAATATCTCAAATAAACTGTCAAGTGAAAACATAATGTTTAGAATACTGTGAACTCTCATCTGTGTAAGGAAAAAAGTGAGATTTCATGCATATATATATATGCAAACACAAATATGCATAAAATATCCCTGGAAGGATACCCACATAACTGGTAATACAGACTGTCATGGAGGACGAAACCTGAGTTATGGAAAATTAGGGTGCAGAAAATTACTTTCAGTGTAATCTCTTATGAACTGTTTGGACTTTTTATCCAAAAATATTAACTAGTGAATGCACTAGTTAATATTTTTTCTTTTGTAAAGGAAACTATGATTCCAGTATATGAACATATGCTTCTAGAATCTATGTCTAGAGATTTTCTTTTTTTTTTTTTGAGTTGGAGTTTCACTCTATTGCCCAGACTGGAGGGCAGTGGCACGCTCCCGGCCACCGCAGCCTCGACCTGCTGGGCTCCAGCGATCCTTCCACCTCAGCCTTCCAAGTAGCTGGAACTACAGGCGCGCACTACCACATCCGGCTAATTTTTTATTTATTGTAGAGATGAGGTCTCGCCAAGTTGCCCAGGCGGTTCTCGAACCCGCAAGCTCAGGCAATTCACTCACCTCAACCTCCCAAAGGCGCGGGATTACAAGCTGAGCCACCAAGCCCGGTTTAGAGATTTTCCATGCTCATGGACTTCTGAAGTTAATTCAGAATTAAACAAAACCAACCTATTATTTTTAAATACCTCAGGATCCTGAGAACAAGGGTGATCATTCAAAGGCGCGTATATACACTTCTTCCTGCATGATTCAAGAACATCAAGAGACTTTGAAACGACTATCTGAAGTCTGGCAAAAGGTCTCTGAACAGGATGATCTAATCCAGGAACTTCGAAATAAGCTAGCCTGCAGTAATGCTTTGGTAAGTGCTTTCTTCTAGAACATTTTTCTGAGAGACCGACAATAAAGCCATGGGGAAAGAAAGGAGAGGAAAAGAGTCACTTAGATTCAACTCTTTTGCCAAGATTCCTCAAATGTTTGTTCGCATTCTCCATGGTATACATTTCTCCACTGGTTCTAAGTTTGAGATTCTAGAGAAACTTAAAATCTCTCACACACCAAAATAAATATTGTTGGGAAATGGTTAAAGAGATTAAGATAAGTTATTAAAGAGATATCCATATCATGGAGTAATATGCAGTCAGTAAGAAAGACTAAGCAGATCTGAAAGAGCTGCATGGAAGGAGGTCCATGACTTATTGTTTAGAATAAGTTGCAGAATCCTATGCATAGTTCTGTTTCAGTTTAGCTTTTTAAAATCTCTGATTATAATATAGAAGTATAGACTGTAAATTTTCAATAGTGTCCTTCCCTTCTTAGTGGAAGTGAGAGAGGGGAAAATAAGGAAAGAGGGTGTCACTTATTTTCAATGCTTGGGTTTTGTTTGAATTATTTTTCCACAAATTCAAAAAAGCATGAAATTTAAAAAAAATTTTTTTTAAAAATACAATCACCCACTCTATAAGAAACTGTTATCTTTGATTTTCAAACTGTGAAGTCTGTCCTCTGATAAAATACATCCCTCTATCATAGCCTCTGAAGAACCTTCTACCTCCTAAGTGGACCACACAGGTTCAAGAGAGAGTCCAATATGTGGGCACTGATGAACTTGAGAAAAATCACTCTCTATGATACCAAATTGAGAGTATAATTTCTTCTCCCTACCTACCCCACAGGAAATGTGTGATGAATTATGTAACTCTGCAACAAATTTATGCTGCAAAAGGGAACTCCCTACAGTAATAGTAATGGTAATGGGCACATTGCATTGATCATTCAGTGTAACTAACCCTTACTCATTTGCAGGTTCTGGAGCGTGAAGAGGCTTTGATTAAATTACGAGCAGACTTTGTTTCCTACACTGCCACCCACAGACACCCTCCTAGCTCCTCAGAAGATTGTGAAGACATCAAAAAGGTAGAGAAATGTCCTTATTTGTGCCTGGTGGGATCAGGCTGAGCTGGGTTTGATTCTGAGTTTTCTCGCTTGTTTTATTCGTATATTAGAGTTTATATTTTATTTTATATATGTGTGCCCTTAGTTGACTCTGCCCCAGGGATATTATGTATAATATCTGTCAAGCTTCAAAAATTAAGGCAACATTAGCTTCTGGAATTGCACCCATCTCTTAATCCACTTCTAAAAGTACACCAAACAAGACAGAAATCCTATTGACTTGCTACTAAGGACTATCCAGCCTTCTAGTGTCTGGCTGGAGCTGACGAGCAACAAATTTAGCAAAAATTATCAATCCAAATTCATTCTCTACTCTCCTTTTTTTGATAACTATGTGTTTGCAATATTCAAGGCAGTATCAAAAGTTGGTTCTAATCATGAATAAGCAGCTAAACCACGTAAACAAACGGCAAGATTTGATGAATCAATAATCAAAATTTGACCAAGTACCCTCCCAGATGAAGTCCTGTCTTAAGTCAGTCACACCTGAACTTGAAGTATCTGGCAAAGCCAGCTACATGCCACCATGCTGGGCAGGTCATAGCTTGCCTGCATGCTCCAAGACGGGATGCTGAAATGGGGCAAAGAGGCTAGCGGGGAGAGTAAATATACATACAAGCTCTCTGAGGGGTCCTCCAGTGTGAGAGGAGAAGAGTCTTCTCTTTCTGGGACCTTCCAATTCCAGAAAGTTGGATGAATGAGGGACCAATATTGAACTTTGTGGTTCTACCTTGGATATCTGTCAATATTCATTTTAAAAGTCAGTGCCATGTTACTCACATCCTGACCTACAGCAACATCTCTCTTCTGTTTCCCCCATAGCACTTACCAACTTTCAGCATTTTCTGTAAATCACTATGGTTATGCTCTACATCTCATGCCACTAGAAGGTCAGCTCCATGGAGGCAAGGATTTGTGACTGTGTGTCTTGTCCTCTGTCCTCAGCACCTAGGACAGTGCCAGGGCACACATTTTCCATAAATGATCATGTATGTGGGGAGGAAGAAATGACTTCTTTATGAACGTTCTATGTATACATCAGAAGTCTGCCATATCCTATTTTTATTTTTTATTTTTTATTTTTTTGAGTTGGAGTCTCACTCTGTCACCCAGGCTGGAGTGCAGTGGCACAATCATGTCTCACTCCTTGGCTCAAGCAATCCTCCCATCTCATCCTCCTGAGTAGTAAGGACTACAGGTATGCACCACCATGCCCGGCTAATTTTTTGGTTTTTTTGTAGAGATGAGGTCTCACTATCTTGCCTGGGCTGTCTTGAACTCCTGGCCTCAAGCAATCCTCCTGCCTCAGACTCTCCAAGTGCTGAGATTACAGGCATGAGCCATGGTACCTGGCCTGTATCCTTTTTTAAATTTTTTTTTTCTTTTATGTTAGCCAAGTAAAACTCATGTCTTGTTAGCAGTCTTATGGAGGTGTAATTTATATACCCAACAATTCACCCTTTTAAAGTACACAATTCAATGTTTTTTTTATATAGTCACAGATATGGGCAACCATCACCACAATGTTAGACAATTTTCATCACCTTAGAAAAAGAAAAATCCTTTAGCTATCACCTCCATAAACCTCTAACCTTCCCCAATGCCACGGCACTGAGCAATTATTAATCTACTTTCTATCTCTATAGATCTCCATGGTTTTGGACATTTAATATAATTTAAATTATCTAATAAATGGGCTTTGGTAGTCTTTTGTGACTGGCTTCTGTCACAAAATAATGTTGCTCTAAACATTCACATACACATCTTTGTGTTGCTGTATTTTCATTTCTCTTGGATATATATCCAGGTTATTCTTCTCTTTTTAAAACACTTTTAAATCAAGACATAACTGACAAACCATAAAGTTCACCACTGGTTTTTTGTATACTCACAAGGTTGCAATCATCACTACCCCGTCATCTAATTCCAGTACACTGTCATCACCCCAGAAGAAACCCCATTCCCCACACACTTCCCCTAGCCCTGGTAACCACCACTCAACTGTCTGTCTCCACCATCTATTCTATTCTAGACTTGGGTGTTTTAGAAAGCATTCTCTCCCCCCATATTCTCATTCAGCCCTGCTCTTCTCTGTCTGCCAGATACTGAAGCACTTGCAGGAGCAGAAAGACAGCCAGTGCCTGCATGTGGAGGAGTACCAGAACCTCGTGAAGGACCTGCGCATGGAACTGGAGGCAGTGTCGGAACAGAAGAAAAACATCATGAAGGGTAAACCAGGGCTGGGGACTGCACCAGGGGACCCCACAAGAAGCCAAGTCCTTTTCTGAGAAATAGCACTCTGTCTTGGCCTGTTGCAGACATGATGAAGCTGGAGCTGGACCTGCATGGGCTACGGGAAGAGACATCCGCCCATATAGAGAGGAAGGATAAGGAGGCCACCATCCTGCAATGCCGGCTGCAGGAGCTACAGCTGCAGTTCACTGAGAGCCAGAAGCTTGCTTTGAAGAAAGACAAGGTGAGGCGAGGAACCCTCTGGTTGGAGCAGCCAGCAGGGCCGGTGTGAGGCACAAGCCAGTCCTGCCTTTCTCCACCCACTGTGATTGCTCTGAGAGCCTCAACACACAATGAGACGGTGGGCTCTTTTAGGTCCAAATACAACCCTGACCACTTCCTTGCTGTTTCTCACAGCACATAAGTCTGATTATGCACGGACTACATAGAGGCACCGACTCTATAAGAAAGAGGTTCCTCCCTAGCCCTGCAAGGTAGTAAGACAGTTTGGGGCACAATTATATTGTTCCCTTGCAGTTTTTTATGCTCGGTAGTGGAAGGATATGCTACCAAATAATATGTAACCTTATCAAGAATTTCAAGTGAGGCCAAGCATGGTGGCACATGCCTGTAATCCCAGCACTTTTAGAGGCCAAGGCAGGAGGATTGATTGAGTCCAAGAGTTTGAGACCAGCCTGGGCAACATAGATTTCATCTCTACAAAAAAAAAAAAAAAAATTAAAAAATTAGCTGGGCATGGTGGTATGTGCCTGTAGTTCCAGCTACTTGGGAGGTTGAGACAGAAAGACCGCCTAAGCCCAGGAGTTCAAGGCTTTGATGAACAATGTCAGTACCACTGCACTTCAGCCTGGGCAACACAGTGAGACCCTGGCTCAAAAAGAAATAAAACAAAAAAGAATTTCATCTTTTAAAACTACAAATATCTTATGAGTATGAAAATCAGGCAGTTTGAAAATATTGATGAAGCTATGCCCTAGAGCAGTGGTCCCCAATCTTTTTGGCATCAAGGATCAGGTTCGTGAAAGATAATTTTTCCATGGAAGGGGAGGGGATTCTCCTTATGAGAATCCTTATGAAATCCTCATAAGGAGTGGCAACCTAGCTCCCTCATATGTGTAGTTCACAACAGAGTTCGTGCTCCTCCATGAACCTAATGCTGCTGCTTATCTGACTGGGATAAGCTCCTTACCTCCTGCTCTGTGGCCTGTATCAGTCCATGGCCCAGGGTTTGGGGACCCCTGCCCTAGAAGATCTGTGGTTGCCAACATAAATCAAGTTCCTGGAAAGTCCAGAAATGGAACCAAGAACGATAAAAACTTGTGAAATCAATGCAAGTTTTTGTAGTTAGTACTATTCCAACTCTAAATTTCTATCAGAGCTATGATCTATAAGCAGACTAAATTTCTATCAGAGCTATGATCTATAAAATAATTCAGTTGATTGGCTGGTCATTAAAGCCTCTTATTTCAAGGTATAGAGGAGATCCTAGTCAAAATGGAGGTATTTGAAGAGGTGATGGCAAAGCAAGGAGTCTGGATAAACGGCTTTGAAACATTCACATATTCATTCCACAAATCTTTTTGAGTACCTATGATACTACAAGCACTGTCCTAGGACTAAGAATATAACAAAACATGTACCACCTCTACTCTCATGGAGCTTACATTCCTCTGTGGGTAGACAGACAGTAAACAAATAACAAAAGTAAAATGTAATACTGGTCTACTCATGCCAGGTACTGATAAATTCCTAAGGCAGCCTCTTTTACACAGAGTGGTCAGGGAAGACCATTCTGATAAGGTGACATTTGGGCAGAGATTTAAATGAAGTGAGGGAGCCACCCAGGCAAAGGTTTTGAGGAAGAATATTCCAGGCAGAGGGAACAACATGAGCAAAGACTCTAAGGTGGGTATCTGCTTGGAGTATTCCAGGAGATCAGCTGAAGTAGAGAGGGGCGAGGGGTGGCAGGAGGTAAGGTCAGACAGTTAGGCAAGGACCAGATCAGGGGCATCCCAGGAGGTGGTTTTAAGGACTTTGGACTTTTTCTAAGTGACACGGAAAGGAGTGGAGGATTTTGAGCTGAGGCATAAGATCTGCTTTGCAACTTTAAAGACCCCCCTCTTGAGATGCCATGGAGAATAGCCTGAGGGACTGGGGTAGAGTCAGAGAGAGCAGGTAGGAGGCCACTGCAGTGTCCAGGTAGGGGATACTGGTGGCTTAGATGCGGGCTCGAGACAACTTCTCATTGCCTTCACCACCGCCGCCCAGACCGTTCCCAGCACTCATGCTTTGTTCCCTCAGATCCTCCAAGACAAAGATGAGATGCTGCACGAGCTAGAGAAGAAACTAACACAGGTTCAGGACAGCCTCACGAAGAAGGAGAAAGAGCTGGAGAAGCAGCAATGCGTAACGACAGAACTGGAAATGACCGTCAACGAAGCCAAGCAGGACAAGTCCAAGGAACAGTGTGAGACCCTGCGGGTTGAGGTCCAGAAGCTGAAAGACAGTCTCGAAGAGGCCAAACAGCAGCAGAGGCTGGCTGGTGAGACCCCAGGAGCCTCTGTCTAGACTCCCACCACAAGTCTCCCCCAGGGTGCCAGAGCAGCTGTCACTTTGCTTCCAACAGTCACATCCCTTCCCCCTCCTCCAATGTCTCACTCCAAACCTGCTCATGGTTTCATCCTGCATCTCATGGCGGTGACCACCACCCTCTTAAACTCCTTCACTCACCCCCAATCTCACCTCCTCCTGGGAGCCTCCCACCACAATTCTCTCAGCAATCTCACAGAAAGACCCTGTCCCTGTCTCGCCCCAGGGAAGCAGGGCTCTGTCCTTTGCTTCTGTGTGCCACATTCCCCGCTGTTTTCTCCAGGCCTTTCATCACACAGTGTGCTTCTCTCTTCCCTACCGTTTAGTTCCCTCTTCTCATTTTTGCCCAAACACATTATCTTCTGTGCCGCTTGCACTGTGGATTGTGTTCTTGCCCCTCTACGGAGACTACTTTCTCAGAGGTCACCAATAACTTCCTGTCTTGGGTCCAGGGTTTTGATGGGAGTACTAAAAATGTTCTGGAATTAGATATTGGTGATGGCCATATAACTTGGCCAGTACGCTAAAAACTGCTAAACTGTACACTTTCAAAGGGCAAATTTATCAATTTAAAATAAGATCAGGCCAGGTGCAGTGGTTCACACTTGTAATCCCAGCACATTGGAAGGCCGAGGTGGGAGACTCGCTTGAGTCCAGGAGCTCAAGACCAGCCTTGGCAACATAACGAGACTTTGTCTCTACAAAAGATAAAAAAACTTAGCTGGGTGTGGTGACGCATGCCTGTAGTCCCAACTATTTTGAGCAGGAGGATTGTCTGAGCCTAGGAGGTCGAGACTGCGGTGAGCCGTAATTGTTCCACTGCACTGCAGCCTGGGCAACAGAGTAAGACTCCAACTCAAAAATAATAATAATAATGAGATCCAAGCTTGGCTTCCTTCCTCACCCTCCTTTAATGCTGTTCCCTGGTGGTGTTAGCCACCCATTTCTCAAACCTACTTGCCTGGGGCCTCACTCTTCCACAGATCTCACCATTGTTTTCTCTTTTCCTTCCTACTCTGACTGCAGTCATCCATCCCCTAAGACTCTGGCTTCACCCTTTCTCCTCTCCCTCTGCACTCAGAGCTCCCTCCTCCTCGTAACTACATTTCTCTGCAGATTACTCCAAAAAGGAGAACCCAGTGCTGACTTTGCAGCTGTAGTCAGTGTTGTCTTTAGATATATGCTATCCCCAGGTCTTCATATTCTTTTTTTTTTTTTTTTTTCAGTTAGTCTCACTCTGTCGCCCAGACTAGAATGCAGTGGCACACTCACGGCCACCGCAGCCTCGACCTGCTGGACTCTGGCAATCCTTCCACCTCAGCCTTCCAAGGAGCTGGAACCACACCTGGCTAATTTTTTTATTTATTGTAGAGACAAGGTTCAGTCAAGTTGCCCAGGCTGGTCTAAAACCCTGAACTCAGGCAACACTCTCTCCTCAGCCTCCCAAAGTGCTGAGATTACAGACTTGAGCCACCACACCTGGCCCCACCTTCTCTTCTAATTCAACATTTCCAAAACCGAACATACTCTTTTTTCTTATTTTAAAAAATCCTCCTCCTTCCTTCTTCCAGGGTGTGTCATTATTTCCACAGTGGTATCCCATTCTTCTTCTAGTATCCCAAGCTAGACAATTTGGAGGAGGGAATGAGAGCAGAGTGATGTTTAAAGTAGAAATGTCAGTAGACACTGTAGGATGTGGGAGCATATTTGGTGTAAAGGAACGCTGATAAGCAACTCATTCAGGGTGCTTTGCCCCTCATGCCCAGTGGAGGCAAGAGCATAGACTAGAAGAATATCACTGGAAGTCTTTCTCTGTTCTAATGCATCCCAGTTTTCCTAAAGCATTTTTTTCTTTATGTCAAGTCCCTGCTCAAGAATCCACTGAGTCATATCTAAACATTTATCTCAGGCTTTCAAAATCCTCCAAAGTCCCTTCTAACCCACCTGCTCTGTTGCCTGCCATTCCTCCCCACTTCCCTTTCCAGTCAAGCTGGATTTCTGCTATCCTCCTCCCACTTGCCTTCCCCATTCCCTTCATCTGGCATTGACTCTGACAATCCCCCCACCTGGAATTTCTCCTACTTCTTCTAAGACCTAGCTCAACTTCTGTTCCTCCACAAGCCCATCTCCAAGCGTTCTAACTCACATTGGTCCCTCTTCCTGAGTTCCCAGTTGGTGTGAGTTTAGCATGGCAATGTTCTCCATGCCAGGTAGGCCAGTTATGGCTCCCTTGCCAGAGTCTAAACTCCATAAGGGTTGGGATTTGTCCCTAATGACAGGATGAGTCTTGTGGGAGATACTGAGCATTCCTACCAGTTTGTTTAATTTTAGTCCAGAAGGAGTCTACAGCTGAGGGGTAGATGAATAGAAACTTTAACAGAGCTCCTTGGGACTGATAATGAAATGGAGAGAAATGAGGGCAGACTGGGAATTGAAGTAGGTCATGAAATGACATAAAAGACTCTTTAGACAGTCTGATTTGAGAGTCTGATCTTTCCACATGCTCCTTCTCATGTGGACATGGCCTGGCTTGTCTCCTGGCTTCTGCAGCCCAGCAAGGAGCCCAGTACAAAGAAGAGGCCCTGCTGGCAGGGAGCAACCTAGAGGATGCCCAGAGGAAACTGCAAAGCTGTATTTTCCAGGACAAGCAGAAGGCAGACACCATCCAGGAACTACAGCGAGATCTTCAGAAGCTGCAGAAGGAGTCCTTGATTGCTGAGGAAACACAAGCATCCAACAGGTACCTCGGGCTTACCTCCAGAGAGAGATTCTGTCCTTTGTGAGCCAGCCAGGATCTCTGGGGCAGCAGCCCAAGAGCAAGGACTCCCTGTGGGGCCAGCTACCATCACAGGCACTAAAGTCCACCCTCCTGATGTTGCCACTTTCCTTTAGGAGACGACTGGAGGAGCTGACATCAGAACTCTCTGAGGCCCTGAGGAAGATTGAAAATTCAGACAAGGAAAAGAAACAGCTTCAGGAGACAGTGGCCGAGCAGGATATGAAAATGAATGACATGCTGAATCGCATCAAACTTCTTCAACACCAGGTATGAAGGGGAAGTAGGTGGCTAGCTCAAGCATTTTCTCTGCTTAAGATGAAATGTATTGGTCTTTATTTGGGAAGATGTCACCACCAATCCATGCACGTGAATTGTCCAGAATCTGTGCTCAAATACTAAGCCACTCAGCACTAGTTCCCGTGACCAGTCATAAGCATTTTCAAAAGTGAAACTTAAAACTAATCCAAGGACAATGTTGTCTTCCTAGGATTCAAAAGCTATTCTTGTCAGTCAACTTAAAGTCTTTGATGTTTGAACTATTCTTTTTGTTTTTGAATCAAAGAGGTTTGGAATATTCCAAATCTTTGGAAAGATTTGGTAAATGGAGAAGAAGCCCAATGTCATGGGAATTGGATCAATAAAGAAAATAAACTGCTGTATGTTATTGGACAAAGAAAAAAATGTTACCATACTTGGGTGGAAACTTGTTTATGACATACACTATCTAACTAAGGAATTGTCCTCTTATTTATTTCAGCCATTCCCTGTGTGCAATTGTCTCTATTTTTTCCCCCAAATGTCATATAGTCTATGACCGTCTTCCAGCCCAGTCTTTATTTTCTCAGCACAGGGAGCAAGAATCCATCAAAAGCAAGTTGGAAGATGAACTTCAGGAGACAACAAAACTGCTGGAAGAGAAACGGGAGCAGTTGAAAAGGAGCAAAGAACAGGAGAAGCTGGTAGAGGAAGAACTTGAAGCTCTGAGACAGGAATTGAAAAGGAGAGAAAAGACGGTGAGAAGGAGAATCTGGGAAGAGTCAAGTCACGAATCCAGGCAGGGACATTGACCCTTTCCGGATCCAGGGGGATGCACAGGCCCTGATTGCTTAGCCCTTGGGAGAGAAGGTTAGGAAAGTGGGAAAGGCCAGTGAGGGGGAGAGCAAGGAGGCTGAAGATACCACAGGGTAGAGAAGGGGCTGTGGATGAGGGAGGGGAAGTGGAGCTTTTGTGTCAGTCTGAGGTTAACATCTGTTTTCTGGACTTTGTTCTTTAATGTGGGAGTAGTTGAAGGAGAATTCCAGAAAATTGGAGGAAGAAAATGAGAATCTTCGAGCAGAGTTAATGCATCGTTCTACACAACTGGAATCCTCTCTCAGCAAATACAACACCTCCCAGAAAGTCATCCAAGACCTGAATAAAGAAGTGAGTAAACCAGGCATGATGGTTCACACCCGTACTCCCAGCATTTTGGGAGGTTGAGGCAGGAGAGTTGCTTGAGACCAGGAGTTGACCAGCCTAGGCAACACAGTGAGACCTCCTCTCTACAAAATTTTTTTAAAAGTTACCCAGGTGTGGTGGTATGTACCCGTAGTCCCAGTAGACTGAGGCAGAAGGGTTACCTGATCCCAGGAGGTTAATGCTACAGTGAGCCAATCATGCCAATATACTCCGGCCTGAGCCACAGAGTAAGACTCAAAAGAGAAAAGAAATAATAGGTAAGTAGATAGGAATCCTAAGGAGGTGGGGAGCTTGACTCCTGTGACCTTTGACCTAAAATCTGTACCACACTCTTCGAAGACCCCACAGAAATGCAGCTCTGCTTAGCCAACCGTGCAGCCTATGGCACCTGCAGTTCCACCTCTTGCCCCTTTAGTACCTGGTTGCTGAGCCAAAGAAATGTTTTTTTTCTATCTGTGGAAGGTTTCACTGCATATCCAGTAGAACCCACAAGCTATCTGGGCCTTGGCATCAAGTTTCCCAATGTTACACTTTCGACCAGAGTTGAGTGAATTTGTTTGGGAAGGGTAGGGACAATTTGCTAGGGAATACTTCCAAAACTTGTCACAAAGCACAAAATGGGGACAGAAGAGAAGACTTATTTTTTATTACACAAGTAAAAATGACAGAAGGGAGTAAATAGCATCTGATGTGTGCTAGGCACCATGCTTGGATTCAGCTGTCATTTATTTATTGTCTACTTAAGCTCTTTACATCCTTTCCATCTGCTTTACTCCCAACAAGACAGACATCACAAGTGAAAGAAAGGCTGAGGGCAAAGTCATTAATCAGAAAGTGATGGAATGAACTAGGGTTTGAACCTGAATTATCCAGTTCTAACACCTATTCCAGGCCAGGCATGGTGGCTCACACATGTAATTCCAACACTTTAGGAGGCCGAGACAGGAAGATTGCTTGAGCCCAGGAATTTGAGACCAGCCTGGGCAACATAGCAAGATCTCATCTCTACAAAAAAATTGAAGCATTAGCGGGGTATGGTGGTATATGCCCATAGTCCCAGCTACTCAGGAGACTGAGGCAGAAGGATTGTCTGAGTCCAAAAGGTCAAGGTTGTGGTGAGCTGTGATCGTGCCACTGTACTCTAGCCTCGGTGACAGAGTGAGACTCTGACTCAAAACAAAACAAAACAAAACATCTATTCTCTTTCTACTTCATGAGCAGGGATACTTTCCCCAACTGAATACTACCATCTTGCTGGGCAAGAAAAAAATAAACCACCTTGGCAGATGGTCTCTTAGGTTACAAATAAAAGACCAAGCAGCACTTATTCCTTCATAAGGTAAATAATAATAATGATTATATGATGATAATCTTAAAACAGTATAACAGCACTGCCCAATAGAATTTTCTGCCTTTCTGTGATGATGGAAGAGTTATATATCTGAGTTGCCAGTGCTACAGCCACGTGGCCATTGAGTACTTGGAATATGACTTAGTATAACTGAGGAACTGAATTTATAATTCTAATTAACATCAACTAATTTTATGTTTATTTAAATTAACATTAGACAATATTTAATATTAACTAATTTGATGTGCATTTAAATTAACATTAGATAACATTTAATATTAACAAATTTTATGTTTATTTAAATGCAAATAGCCTCGTGTGGGTGTGTGGCTACCGTGCTATACAGCACAGGTGTAGGCACTGATGGGCCTGAAGCTTTGTCCTCCAGAGTTATAAATCTCTCCTTGAGTGGAATCCAGAGTTGAGGCCCGAGTCACTCAGATCCCTAAGGAACCTCCCTGAATTTGAGAGATACTGCCTAAGTATTTATTATGAGCCTGTTGTTGCACTTGCCAAAAGAAAGATAGCCATGTAAATGTGGAAGTAAAAGCACTAATTTCAGAATTCCTTTCATGTGAATCAGAAATTTATAGGAATTTGTGTGTTTGTGTGTGTGTGTGTGTGTGTGTGTGTGTGTGTGTGTGTGTGTGTAAACATGTTTACCTTTGAAAAAGCATACCCCACGTTTGGCAAGTTTATTGAATTAATTGAAACAACCTCTAGAAAGAGGCTTTTTTTTTTTTGGATGGGTGCAGTGGCTCACACCTGTAATCCCAACACTTTGGGAGGTGGAGGCAAGAGGATTGTCTGAGCCCAGGGGTTTGAGACCAGCCTGGGCAACTTGGCAAGACCTCGTCTCTACAATGAGTCAAGAAAAATTAGCCACGCATAGTGGTGCATGCCTGTAGTTCTAGCTGCTGGGAAAGTTGAGGTGGAAGTATCACTTGAGCCCAGCAGGTCGAGGTTGCAGTGACCCTGAGAGTGCCACTGTACTCCAGCCTGAGCAACAGAGTTGAGACTCTGACTCGGAAAAAAAAAGAGGCTTAGTTCAATTTCTTTCATCAGTATTTCTTTTAAGTCAGGATCTCACTCTGTCATCCAGGTTAAAGTGCAGTAGAACAGTCATAACTCACTGTAATTTCAGGCTCCTGGGTTCAAGTGACCCTCCCACCTCAGCCTCTTGAATAGCTGGAACTATAGTCACACACCACTTACACCCAGCTAGTCTTTTTTTTTTTTTAATTTTTTTGTAGAGACAGCATCTCACTATGTTGTCCAAGCTGGTCTCTAACTCCTGACTCAAGCAATCCTACTACTCAGCTTCTCAATGCCTTGGGTTACAGGTATGAGCGACTGTGCCTGGCCAACATTTCATATTTTATTTTAAAATATTCCATCTGAATTCAAGGCACTATATCTTGAGATCTTTTCCATCTCTTTGAGTCTAGAATATTTTTCCTCTATATTTTATATTACTGCCAATAATAGGACAATTCATTTTTTAAATATATTCTGTATGTGAACATCTTATTGAACTCACTTATAAACTGTAACCATTTTTCAGTTGGTACTCACAGATTTTTTAACCAGATGATTATATCATTTTCAAGCAACAACAGTTTTCTAAATATTTCTTTACAATACTTATGTTTATTTTATTTTCTTTCCTTATTGCACTGGACAGTACCTACAGTAAGATCTCAACAGTAGCAGTGTTAGCAGACATCTTTCTCTGCTTTTAATTTTAATGGAATGTATCTTTTTCACTATGATGTTCCCTGGAAACTTCTTGATCCTTTATCAAGTTTCCTCAATTCCTCAGTATTAAGAGTTTCATTAGTATGGATGTTGAGTTTCATCAAATACTTTTAAAGAAACCATTGAGCTGATTATATCATCCTTCTCCTTAAAACAATAATGTGGTGAATAAAATTAATTGATTGATCCTAATTTTGTTTTGTTTTGTTTTGTTGTTTTGTTTTTTTTGAGTTGGAGTCTCACTCTGTTGCCCAGACTGGAGTGCAATGGCCATTTCCGGCCACTACAGCCTCGACCTGCTGGGCTCCAGCGATCCTTCCGCCTCAGCCTTCCAAGTAGCTGGAACTACAGGCACGCACTATCATGCCCAGCTAATTTTTTTATTTATTGTAGAGATGAGGTCTCGCCAAGTTGCCCAGGTGGGTCTCGAACCCGTGGGCTCAGGCAATCCACTCACTTTGGCCTCCCAAAGCGCGGGATTACAGGGTGAGCCACCGAGCCCGGCCTGAGCCACCAAGCCCAGCCTATTGATCCTAATTTTGGGCATCCTTTGCATTCCAAGTATGAGTCCTGATTGTGCATTATGTATCACTCTTTTAATACAACACTTGGCCAGAAGTAGAACAAGTCCAGTATTATTGGAATGTATTGACCAAGGGAGACATTGGTATAGGATGAGATTAGAAAGGTAAGCAGGGCCAGGTATTATGGGCTCTGTTAAGAAATTTGACGTTTTATTCTCAAAGCAACAGAAAGTCACTGATGGAATTTCCTCAGAGGGACAGGGAAGGTGATCTGATCTGATTTAACTTTCCAAAATATAACTCTAATGTGTGAAAATGAATGGAGATGGCTGGGTATGGAAGTGAGGAATTTAGTAAGGAAGCTACTGCTGTCCAGGCTGGAGTGGGGTCAGTGAAGAAGGGAGTAAATTCAGGATGTGTTTTGGTGGCAGAATTTACCAGTCTAGCTAATGGAATGAATGTGAGAAAAGGTGAGGAATCAAGAATGATTTCATGAAATTCACGTATAAAATCATCTAGACTTAACACCATTGGCAGAGAGTAGACCTTTTATTAGAATGTTTACCAGAACTTCTCGATTCTGAAATTTACATATGTCAATATCAAGATTTTTAATATCTTTTCTCAAGCTACCCCACTCATGTTAGCAAAATTTAAAACAAGGCATCCATTTTGACATTTAGTGTTATTGTGATTTTTTCCCACCATCCTTTATCTTAGTATTTCAAGTCCATGGTGACATTTCTCAGTTCAGTCACCACTTATCAAGCACTTAAAGTGAACTGTACTTTCTCCAATGACTCCCTGGTTTACTGGGCAGACCCAGCTAACTCCACATCTTTCAGAAGTCCCCAAATAAGATGCACTTTTATTTCCAGAGAAACAAATTATTTTATCTTTAGGAATAGTTTCACCACCAGGACATGTAAAATATAGGGTCAGAAACCCATCTAACACTTCATATCTCACTAATTCCCAAGGTCAAAGATACTAAAAATTCTACCTGAAGAAGTAATAAACTTCCAGCACTGAGCAGTTCCTGGAGATAAATCAAGAAAGTCCAAAAGAATGTGTTTCTGTGTGCATGGTCACATCAGGATGCCAATGTACCAGAATATCAAAAAACAGAAGTTTAGTGTGTGGATTTCTAAGGCCTCCCTCCTGCTTCCCAAACTCAGAAGCAGATCTCTGTCCTGTCCTTGAAGTATATAAAATAGCCAGTTGCTCAGGGGGTTCATGATAACTCATAATCAAATAACAACTGATACCTTTCCAAAGCCCCTTTATACATACATCATCTAATTTGATCATCACAAAAACTGTGCAACAGTTGAAACTATCCCAATTTGTGGAAGCAGAAACTGAGACCAGAGAAATAAATAGATGACAGAATCTGGACCTCAGCCCAGATTTTCTGACCCCAAATCTCAACCCCTTTTTAAATATACCATGAATATTCATTACTAAATTGACTTAGGTTTTAAACTCACTTCTACCAGAATTATGTATTCAATTGAAACTAATTCCAAACAATATTTGGATCCTTAATTCCAAACAATGCAATATTTCACTCAAAGGGAAAACATTATTTACCTTTTACTGAACACCTATTATGTCCCATGCCCTGAGCTATAGTAACAGGGAAACAGCAATGAAAAAACCCACAGTCCTGCTTTCACAGCTCATCAAGTCTGACAGCAGTGTTCTCCTTCCCTAAAGATAACCTTTCAGAAGGAGTCCTTAGTGAGCCTGCAGGCCCAGCTCGACAAGGCTGTGCAGAAAGAGAAGCATTATCTCCAGACCATGGTCACTAAAGAAGCCTATGAAGAGTTATCCCGAAAGTCAGGCTCCTGCCAAGACCAACTGACACAGGCCCTGGAGAAGGTAAGGCCACACCCTCGCATCTCCAGGGCTGTCTTTGGACATAGAATGTCAGGGTCCCATCAGAGGTGTGGGAGCTAGTTTCCTGCCAACTGGCCATGATCAGGGCCATCTCAAACCCTTGCTGCTTCGTAGTGAGGCTTGGAAATAGAGGAGAGGGAAGGACAAAGACAAAGGCCAAATCAAACAAGTCTTTCTGCCCCTGTGTGACTCAGGTCTAAGGTTTTCCCAAAGCCTGCATTGTCCGGGAAATTCATGCCCCATTCTGTGCTGATCATGCCCTGGCTCATCAATTTGTGGAACTGGAAGGAGAAGAAATGCAAGGGGTGGGAGGGGAGGTGTACAGAAAACCAGCCACAGTCGCTTCCCACCCATCTCTGGGACACCAAGCAAAGTAGCCGTCGGAGCCACCTTGGGCAGAGGAGAGGGAGGGACTGGAACCCTTCTCCATTCCAGACTCACTTAGCACAAACGACCAGAGGGCTCTGACAGTCATTCTCATCTTCTTTATCTTTCCTGGAAGCTCAATCATGCGACCACGGAGGCAAAGAGCCTGCACCGAAGCCTGACCCAGGTCCAAGAGAAGAAAGCTCAGCTGGAAGAGGAAATCATCGCTTATGAAGAAAGAATGAAAAAACTCAACACGGAATTGAGAAAACTGCAGGGCTTCCACCAGGAGAGTGAGCTAGAGGTACGGAGCAGCCAGGAGCTCGGGCTGCCTTCCTGGTAGGGGCCCGCAAGGTCACCTCTTGCATCCAGAATTGTTTAGCGTTGAGCCATTTCCCTGAGCTAATGAGTTCCCTTCACTTTCTTGGCTCCCTGAACGACCGGCAGAGGCGGCAAAGATCAGAGCAGGGGCGCCCTCTGCCGGCTTCCTGGAATAAAATACCCCCAACACGTCTCCCAAGGCCGAGGAAGCACCCTCTGGCCTTGCGGTGGGTCCTCCGGGGTTCGGGAGGCCAGTTGGGGTCCGGGAGGCCAGCTGGGGTCCCGCTCCTCACTTTGCTCTCGTGAGCAGGTGCACACCTTCGATAAGAAGCTAGAGGAGATGAGCTGCCAGGTGCTGCAGTGGCAGAAGCAGCACCAGGATGACCTCAAGATGCTGGCCGCTAAAGAAGAGCAGCTCAGAGAGTTCCAGAAGGAAATGTCCGTTCTGAAGGAGAACCTCCTCGCCGACGAAAAGGAGGTGGGCATGCCTTAGCTTCTGGTGGCCTCCTCGCAGTGCCTCATGGCATGTCCTATGGCCACCAGATGTCAGCCAGCCCTTAGTGGGGTGGGGGTGCCCGGGAGCAAGCACAAAGCAGGGTCTGGATACTCCAGGGCCACAGCGGCTGTCTCAGCCCACCTGCATTCCGTGGCTTTGTTGGTAGACATTGAGCACAAGGAAGGCCCCATCACAGAGAAGAGACTATCAGGTTACTGCAGCCACCTCTGACTTAGACACTTTCAGCAGCCCCAGATCCTTACAGTAGAATTGGCCAAATGACCTTTTGGGGGTGGCCACAGGGCCTTTGCTAGAATTAGAAAGAAAGCATCTCCCCCTCCAGATATTTTTCTTCCATCCATTAGAAAATTGGCTTAGCATACTGCTTTTTAGGACAAGTCACTTTAATGCCTTCAGCCTGAAGATCATTACTATAAGTGGACAAATCTCCTGTGTGTCTGCTGTCAATGGTCCTCCTCAGAGATGTCACCTTTGTGTGACATGCAAACTGCACAGCTAGAGGTGGAGATCCTGGCGTGGCAAGTTCACCTCTAGCCTCAGGTTGGACAGCAGAGTTAAGTTTTCTTCTCCCAGGAAGAGAGAAGAGGCCTGATTCGGGAGGAGGGGGTGATGGACCTGTGATCCCACCCCTTACAGTCTTGTTTTCTTCTTGCACTGAAGCCCTGCTGCCTGCCCCAGAGGTCTGTGTCCAAAGACGCCTGCAGGCTCCACCGAGAGAATGATCAGATCATGTCCAACATGGAGCAATGGGCCAAAGAGCAGAAGTGAGTAAGGAAGGAAAAAAAGAAGGCGAGTCTTAGGCCTGTGCCGAGCTGAGGAGCCACACATGTGCCAAAGATTAGTCACACACACATGCACACATGAACAAACACTGCCCTCCTGGGAAACTGATCCAGCCTCAGTCCATGCCTAAGGGATGGGAATAAGCTGGAGGTAGCTCAACCCTTCAGGCAGGTTTAGAAAGCCCTGCTAACTTAGGAACAGCAGTTTCGAGACAAAGTGCTGCTTTGCTATGGCTCAGATGTCCTCTTCCAGTCCTGGGATCCAGCATCACTAAAGGCACCCTTGAACTCATCCGAGGATTACAAGAATTTTGCATAGGAGTTGGGTCCAAAGAGTCCTCTGAATCGCCAGGTGCTAGGAAGGCCCCAGCTCTGGGAACAGGGAGATACATGGGGGTCTAGTATCCAGCAGAAGCCTTGCTGAGAACACCCAGGGCCCCATTCAGCCAGTTTGTTCCCTTGTTCACAGGAGACTGGGGGACTGGCCACTCTTTTCTCCTCTGAATTTTATTATAGGATTGCCAACGAGAAACTAGGAAACAAGCTCCGTGAACAGGTCAAATACATCGCCAAGTTGACTGGTGAAAAGGAGTAAGTCATCCCATACCACCCTAATTGCTTCTTGAGACTAATAAGAAGGGTCAGCAAGGATCCAGGGCTGGCTTTAGCGTTTAATAGGGGTACCAGACCCCAGGAAAGGCCTGGTATCTTGGAAAGAACCCCTAAGTCCTGAATCTGCATCCTCGTGACCTTGGGCACATCATTTGACCTCCCTGGCCTTAGTTCCCTCACCAGCAATACACAGGGGAGTTTAAATGGTCTCCATGCCGCTTCCTACTCTCGTGAGTCTCAGAGCTCTGGGATACTGAGAAGGGAATGGGAAATGAAAGGCAGGCTGGACTGGCAGGGCAGGGGCGGAGCTGCTGTGACAAACAGATCCCCAGTGGAGGAACATAGAAGGAAACTGTCTTTGTGGAATAGTCTGAGGTGAGCAGTCCAGGTGGTGGGGTCGCTCCGCTCCACCTGGTCATCTGAGGACCCAGGTTCCTTCCGCTTGTTGCGCCACCTTCCCTGCAGTCTTGCTCCCCCTGCATGGTCAAAGCTGGGCCTGTGAGAGTTGGGTGTGAGGGGAGTGCTGCAAGTTTGAGAATAGAGGTGAAGGTATGAATGTCTAAAACTGAGATGTTAGAGGTGGCAAAGTAATAGGTGATGACAAACCTTAGAACAGTGCTTCCCAGTCATCTGTCAGGGAACACTTAGAAAGTGACTGCATTTAGCCGGGCTCGGTGGCTCAGCCTGTAATCCCGCGCCTTTGGGAGGCTGAGGTGAGTGGATTGCCTGAGCCCGCGGGTTCGAGACTCGCCTGGGCGGCGAGACCTCATCTCTATAATAAATCAAAAATTCAGCCGGGCGTGGTAGCACATGCCTGTAATTCCGGCTACTTGGAAGACTGATGCGGAAGGATCGCCGGAGCCCAGTAGGTCGAGGCTGCAGTGGCTGAGAGCGGCCACTGCACTCCATTCTGGCGACAGAGTGAGGCTCCAACTCAAAAAAAAAAAAAAGAAAGAAAGCGACTGCATTTGTTTGGCACACTGGCAAGTTCTGGGCTGGGCTTTCTCATGACCAAGCTGACCAAGCAGCAGCTGCCCTGAACCCTCCCCCAAGCGCCACGGGTGTTGGTGTCTCCGCACACCTGGAACCCATTTGTGGGGCAGCCAGGTTTGTACAGGGCAAGAGGGTAGGTCGCATGCCCAGAGAAGAGGTTGGGGATGAATTCTGTATTCAATTTACTCTGGAAAATACCATGAAACTTTTCATGGAGATAAAAACATCTTCTTAAGAGGTTTAACTAAAAGGTAACAGGTAACTTCAGGCCTTTTCTTATATTATACCAAGTTCCAGAAAGTTCTGTTTCACAAAGGACAACTTGAGTTTGCTTGATCCTATTTTAAGAAAAACCATCTTTTAATAATAATAATAGCTCAATTAATATGCATATTTTACAATGTGTTAGGCACTGCTGTAAGTACTTTGCATGTGTGAACTTATTTCATCTGCATAAGACCTCATGAGTTCAGTACAGTCATAATTCCCATTTATGGATGAGGAAAGAAAGTAACTGAGAAGCTAAATAACTTGTCCCTTGTCTCACAACTAGTAGTAGCAGAGCCAGAATTCCAAGGTTGGAAGTCTGGTTTTAGAGCCCACTGTCACCCACTGCCCTCAATATTAGTTTGGAGAAGCACATTGATATAATAGCTGCCATTTATTGAATCACAGGAAATGTACTAAACTCTCTTTCCTGTTGCCTGCATCATACCTCCATTTTCCCATCCCATAAAGTGGGAACAAGTATCTTGCCCGAGTTCCCTGTAGAGCCAGGATGCCCTGTGCTCCCGGCCCTTCAGCAAAAGGAGGAAGAGTGCATGTGAGCTTTGGCATTAGCATCGAGTGCGAGTGTTTCCAAGACATGGCCATGAAAACCCAAGGACGTGTGACCACATTGTCCATAACTGCCTTCTGGCTCTTCAAATCAAATTTCTAACATTGGTCAAACCAGATCCTTATACAAACCCCATCAGACAGGCCAGACCTGATTGCCCCCACCTAACAGATCAGAAGACAGCCCAGAGCTGACTGCAGCAGTCAGGAGTGCTAGCTCTTGGTCTACCCAGACTCCAGGTCTGGGCTTTTTCCACAGCACACCCATAGGTCTCCCATTTCCACAGAGCATAAGAGCCCAGCTCTAAAAAAGACCGGGCATTCATGCCCTCTTTCTCGTGACATCTTCATCTGTCCTTTCCAGCAAGGAATGAAGCAAATCAAACAGACCAAACACCCACCTGTCCTTCTTTTCCTGCCCACAGCCACCTCCATAATGTCATGATCCATCTGCAGCAGGAAAACAAGAAGCTGAAGAACGAGATAGAAGAGAAGAAGATGAAAGCCGGGAACACGAGGCTATGCGCCAAAGCCCTAGGCCCAAGCAGAACAGAGCCCACACAAAGGGGGAGGGTGTGTGGCACCTTGGGCTGGAAGGGAATGCCCCAGGACCTGGGCCAAAGAATGGACGTCACCAAGTACATTGGGATGCCCAACTATTCAGGTATGTCTGTCATTTGTCTTTCTTAGTCCCATATTTTTTTAAAACTGTGATATTTATATACTTTTAATCATTGGATTAGGAATTCAAATAGGGAGAAAAAATAGGTCTTTTATGACTTCAAGTCTTTTGTGTAGCTACTCTGGACCAAAGATAATTGTCGCCATATCTGTAGAGGCGGGAGGCGAAGTATAAGCGTGTTCTGATCTAAGAACAATGGAGGATACCCAAAAGCCTCATATCTCAGACCTATCCCCTGCCCTGAACCAGTCCCTTTTGGGGACAAAGGGAAACAGGCAGAATAGGATCTTCCTCTTGTTATGTGTCTGGAAACCCCACAAGCACACCCTAGCCACATACTCAGCCTAGGTCCATGGCTACCTTTGCTGCCACCTGAAAACTCCATGTTACTCCAGAGGGAAGAAGTCACTCTGCAACAGAGCTGCCTGGCCATGTGGTCAGTCCCTGAGGAATCACCTCATTAATTTCTCCTCAAATCAAAACTCTCCTTTCCTCCCTGTTCCCTCAGGTTCCTCGTATTCCTAGAATTGGTGTCTTGCCCTGAGCATCATTTCCATGCACGTTTCTCAGAGGACAGTGAGTTCCCATCCCTCTCTCCTGACCTGGATCAGCTCCTGTAGGAATATATCAAGGGCCTAGCCTTTTCTGCAAGATGCTAATGTTTTGCTGAGTTTTTTCCACTTCCTGTAACGGGGTGAGCTTGTGAGCTTTGGAACTATCCCACTATCTCCAGGCCCAAGCTGTGAAATAAAGACATGAACACAGCAGTTGTAGCGTCCTCTTGGTGTCTTGCAGACATCACTGCCCCACAAGCTCCCAAAAACATGTTCATTCCTGTTTTCTCTGAATTCTGAAAGATGCCATTCTCTCTCTCTCTCTCTCTCTCTCTCTCTCTCTCTCTCTCTGTGTGTGTGTGTGTGTGTGTGTGTGTGTGTGTGTGTGTGTGTTTCTCTGTTTGAGATAGGGTCTCACTCTGTCACCCAGGCTATAGTACAGTGACTTGATCATAGTTCACTGTAACTTGAACTCTTGGGTTCAAAGATCCTCATGCCTCAGCCTCCCAAGTCGCTGGGACTACAGGCATTATACCACCATTCCTAGCTAATTTTTAAAATATTTTTGTAGAGACAGGATCTTGCTGTGTTGCCCCAACTGGTCTCAACTCCTGGCCTCAAGCAATCCTCCTGCCTCAGTCTCCTAAAGTTCTGGGATTACAGGTGTGAGCCACCACACAGGTGTGAGCCACCATGCTTTGTCGGTCTCCTTCACTTATATAGGAGAACTATAATTCCCAAAGCAAGTTTCTGGATTAGTGTTTATGTTTAAACCAACAGGAGATAATTCACTCCTATTTTTTCCTTTCCGTCTCTGTCTGAAGTTCGAAAAGAAAAAAAATCTAAAAATCCTCAAAGGAAAGTAATCCCAAGACTCAAAAGAAAGGAAAAGAAACGAGATGTATTTTCTGAATGGGGGAGCAAGAGAGCACCATCTGCTTTCTCCCTGGCCACATATTCTATTCCTCCTTTTAACAACTTTATTTTTCTTCTCCCCAGCCACCTCAATACAAGTACAATTCCATTATAAGAAACTCCAAGGACAGCTAAACTATTTTATTGTGGTAGGATTTTGTTATACTGAGTACGTTTCTAGAATTTATATTTCTAGTCCATAGGAAATGGAGAGAAGTAGCTATGAGAATAAAGTAAGAGAAAGAAACAAAAGAGCTTGCATTTCTGAGGGGGCAGGAAATGTGAAGGAAGGAGCCCACTGCTTGGCAATGAACCTTTCATATTCTTGCCTCTCTCTCCTTGACCAACAAAGGCCAAGAACATTCACTGCTAACAGTGGCATGTTGCACAGGGTCCCCTGACAGGAGTTGGGAAGGGGAAGTTCCAGAAGCGCCATGTGAGGTAAGAGTGACAGACGATGTCCCTGGTCGTTTCTGTTGTGATGGTAGTTGTTCATTTATGTTCTTTGGACTATGTCTCCCCATTTGGTTTAGAATGTGGGTTTATTTTCTAGAGGAAAAAAAGACTGAGAAATCGAGTACTAACGAAATCACTTCGTAGTTCTAGCCTGTGGCCCATTTTATTCAAACAGACGTTCAATGTCATTAAAATCCCCAGTCCATTCTACTAAAAAAGGCATTTTATTTCTATAATTTACCAAAACGTTTCGTGTATGTTGGCCAAAATGACATTCTCTGGATATTTTGAGTGTTAGGCATTCTTTCGAAGTTGTCTTTCACTTCCTATGGGGTGATTACACCAGAGCAAAGCAGATAGTGAGTTATGGAGAACAAAGATGCAGCAGAACCAGAAAAACATCAATATGTCACCCAGCTGTCTGGCTCTGAGAGCCCAGCCAGGAAGAAGACCTTACTGAGTAGAGGTGATGAACTTAGAGAAATGCATTTTCTCTAAAGACAAGAGGAAGGATGGGGAAGCTGGATGTTGTCTACCTATGATTTGTTAAGAAATAAGCAAAATGAGTTCCTAAAAAGAAGTTTGAACAGGTGATATTAAAAATAAATGATTACAACAATATTTTCATAGGTTAAAAAAAAACACACACTCAACAAACTAAGAATAGAAGGAAACTACATCAACATAATAACAGCCATACATGAAAAACCCACCACAAATGTCTTACTCAGTGGTGAAAGACTAAAAGATATCCTCTAAGATCAGGAACAAGACACCACTTCTATTCAACATAGAAGTTGAAGCCAGAGCAATTAGGCAAGAAAAGGAAATAAAAGGCATCCAATAGAATCAGAGAACATAATCCTAAGCAAACTAACTCAGGAACAGAAAACCAAACACTTCATGTTCTCATTTATAAGTGAGATCTAAACTAAGGATCTGCAAAGACATGGAGAATGACATAATGGTCATTGGAGACTCAGAAGGGAGAGTGGAGAAAAGGATGAGAGGATGAAAAAATCACCTATAGAGTACAATGTGCACAGGCAGAGGTGGCGGGTACACTTAAAGCCCAAAATTTTCACCACTGTACAAATGCAGCAAAAAACTATGTGTACCTCCTAAAGCTATTGAAATAAAAGGGGGGAAAGGCATCTAAACTGGAAGGAAGAAGTAAAATTATTTCTGTTCACAGATGATATGATCTTTTATATAGAAAACTCTAAAGATTCCACACACAAAAACCATTAGAACTATTAAGTAAACTCAGCAAAATAGCAGAATACAAATTCAACACACAAACCTCAGTTGCATTTCTATATACTAACAAACAATGAGCTACCCAAAAATAAAATTATAAAAATAATTCCATTTACAATAGCATCAAAAAGAATCAATCTTAGGACTTAACCAAGAAGGTGAAAGACTTGTACAAGGAAAACTACAAAACCTTGCTGAAAGCAAATAAAGACACAAATAAATAGAAATACATCCCATATTCATGGATTGGAAAACTTAATAAGATGTCAAGACTACCCAAAGTGATCTCCATTAAAATCCCAACGATGTTTTTTTCAGAAACAGAAAAACATCCTAAAATTCACTTGGACTCTCAAGGGACCTCAAATAACCAAAACAATCTCAAAAAATAAGAACACAGCTCAATAACTCATAATTCCTGATTTCAAAGCTTACTACAAAGCTACAGTAATCAAAATCATAAAGACAGACATATAGACCAATGGACTAGAAAGCCCAGAAATAAACCCTCACATATATGCTCAAATGGCTTTTGACAAGGGTGCCAGTGGGAATAGGATGATTCAGTGGGGAAAAGATGGTTTTTTTCAACAACTGGTGCTAGAACAACTGGATATTCATAAGCAAAAGAATAAAGTGTGACTCTTACCTAACACCATAAACAAAAATTAATTTAAACTGTCTAAAACTATAACACTCTGACCAGTGCCTCACGCCTGTAATCCCAGAACTTTGGGAGGTAAAGGCAAGAGCCCATAAATTCAAGACCAGCCTGGGCAACTTGCAAGACCTCATCTATACAAAATAAAAATATTAGCTAGGCATGATGGTACAAGCCTGTAGTTCTGGCTACTTGGAAGGCTGAGACAGAAGGCTCTCCTGAGCCCAGCAGATTGAGGATGTGGTGGCTGTGAGCATGCCACTGTACTCCAGCCTGGATGACAGAGTAAGACTCCAACTCAAAAATAAAATAAAATAAAACTCTTAGGTGAAAACATAAAGCAAAAGCTTCATGACATTAGATTTGGTAATGATTTTTTGGATATGACACAAAAGGCATAGGCACCAAAAGAATTAATAGACAAATTGAACTTCATGAAAAATAATAATATTTTGTACATCAAAAGACCACATCAACAGAGTAAAAAGGCAACCCACAGGGTGGGAGAAAATATTTGCAAACCACATATCTGGCATAGGATTGATATCCAGAATATAGAGAGAACTCTTAAAATTCAAAAACAAGAAATCAAACAACCTGATTCAAAAATGGGCAAAGGAATTGAATAGACATTTCTCCAAAGGAGATATACAAATGACCGTTAAGCACATGAAAAAGATGCTCAACATCACTAATTATCGGGGAAATGCAAATCAAAACTACAGTTAGATACTGACTATTGATGGCTACTATTTTAAGCATACTGAAAATAACAAGTGTTGGTGAAGATGTGGAGAAATTAGAACCCTTGTGCACTTTTGCTAGGAGTGTAAAATGATAAAGCTGATATGGAAAACAGGATGACAGTTCCTTAAAAAATTAAAAATAGAGCCGGGTTCGGTGGCTCAGCCTGTAATCCCGTGCCTTTGGGAGGCTGAGGTGAGTGGATTGCCTGAGCTCGCGGGTTCAAGACCCGCCTGGACAACTTGGCGAGACCTCATCTCTACAATAAATCAAAAAATAAGCCAGGCGTGGTAGTGCACACCTGTAGTTCCAGCTACTTGGAAGGCTGAGGCGGAAGGATCGCCAGAGCCCAGCAGGTAGAGGCTGTGGTAGCCGGGAGCGGCCACTGCACTCCAGTCTGGGTGACAGAGTGAGACTCCAACTCAAAAAAAAAAAAAAAATTAAAAATAGAACTACCATATGGTCCAGTAATCCACTTCTGGATATATATTCGGAGTAATTGAAAACAAGGTCTCAAAGAGATATTTGTCTGCCCAAGTTCATATTATTCATACAATAGCTAGAACATGGAAGCAACCCCAGTGTCCATCAACGATGGATACATGAATAAGCAAAACATGTTATTTACACACAATGGAATATTCAGCCTTAAAAAGTAAGGAATTTCTGATAGAGGTTACACGTATGAACCCTGAGAATATTATGTTAAGTGAAATAATCCAGGCACAAAGGGACAAATACTGTATGACTCCATTTATATGAGATACTTAGAGTAGTCACAATAATAGAGACATAAAATAGAACAGTGGTTCCCAGGGGCTGTGGGAAGGGGAGGATGCAGAGTTATTTATTGGGCACCAAACTGCCATTTTACAAGATGAAAAGAATTCTGGAGATGCATGGTGGTGACGCTTTGTGCAACACTGTAAATGTATTTAACATCACTGAACTGTACACCTAAAATGGTTAAATTGTAATTTTATGTTATGTGCGTTTTTTTAATTGAAAAAAAAAGAAATAGTTACAAAACCAGGACTCATAAATAAGGGAATTATAAATAAGTGCATCCTTCCAGTGGGAGGATGTTATTCTGGTTCTGATAACTAGTGCCAGCAGAATCCTTTTAGTGGTGGGTTCTCGTCTACCCATCCTAGTCCAGTTCTTCCGCTGAG